CTTGAACACCACCAGGTGTGGCCCCAACATCAAAAAGAAAAACAAAACCCAACTATCCTCGGTAGACCTGGTAGGATTCATCCTGTAGACCATGAACAGGGAATCTCCAGTTTCCCTGACGAACAGAAAGGCACGCACACATGCCAACACACACACATATACAGATGCACACATGCAAACACACACATACTATACACATGCAAACACACATGCACACATGCAAAAACACAAACATGCAAATACACAGGTATGCATACATGCAAAACATGCACACATGCAAACACACATGCACACATGCAAACACATGCACACATGCAAACACACGCACACACACACACAGGTACAGGATCTGGAGAAAGATACCAAGTGTGAATTCTGGACCTGCCTTTTACCAGCTCAGGGCCCTCTGAGACTGAGGCTGCCCCAACTGAGCTTCCCACCCTTCCTGTAAACTGGGGGAAACGGACCCCTAGGAGTCGGGGCTGGAGAATGGCATCACCCCAGTGGGGCCCACCCCTGTGGAACTGCCCCATACAAACACACCACACAGTGCAAGCCCAGAGCATTCCATGGCGATGAGGTGGGATGCTTGCCCGAATCCCGAGAGCAGCTTGATTGTCTGTGCCTCGAAATGACGTCTTGGGCTGTCTGCGTCACAGGAACGCTGGCCCGTGAACCCGCAGTTGCACTAATGGGCCTTCTCATAAACTCACAGCCCTGACAAAGACAATCTGGGCCTGCAAACACATTTCCTCCTGCGGCGGGCTGCTCACAGCTGCTCTGCTCCAGCCCGTTGCAGCCCACTCCATCGAAACACAAGACAGAGAGCACATCACACGCGTGCTCACAAAACACAAGACAGACAGCACATCACACGCGTGCTCACGGAGCACAGGACAGACAGCACATCACACGCATGCTCACAGAACACAGGACAGACGGCACATCACACGCGTGCTCATGGAACATAAGACAGACGGCAGAACAGACAGCACATCACACGCTTGCTCACAGAACACAGGACAGACAGCAGGATAGACAGAACATCATGCACATGCTCACGGAACACAGGACAGACAGCACATCACACGCATGCTCACAGAGCACAGGAGAGACAGCACATCACATGCTTCCTCGCCAACTGCTAACGTCTTTGGTCAGGCCGTAGTAGGTCATTTTGATAGTAGTAGTTAATTCCTCTTTAGTACTTAAGAAGGAATTGAAAAAAAATTCTAGGTGAGGCCCGGGAGGGGGCTAAGGGCAGGACATAGGCTTTGCATGTGGGAGTCCAAGGCTAGACCCCAGTGCTGCACGGTACCCTGAGCATCACCGGTGGGGTCCTCCCCCCTCCCCCTGAAAAGTTCAATTTTTAGATTTTGGACTCTGTGGGGATCGGGGCAACACATATACCCCACATTGTTCAAAGATGGGGTCTTTCCTCTTGCTTTGGCAGATAACCTGGCCCAGAGGCAAGCAGGAAGAAGCAGTCGCACCCCACAAGATGGGGGTCTAAGGGGCCTGGGGGTAGCAAAACACCATAAGATGGAGAGAATCTACAAAGGCAAATGGAAGGGGGTCTGGGGTGGGATGAGGATGAAGCAGAGGGTCCAGATCCCAGAGTCAGGCAATGTGTGTGTGGAGGCGGGGTGGAAAGGGGGTGGAGAGGGGATTACCAACACAGATCTCGGGGGCCACGGGGATCAGCATCTCTTTCAGAAGGGCCTGGGGGCTGAGAATCCTGGGCCTGAGGAGCAGGAAGCGGCTTCAGGGCTCCACAACTTTGTGGAGAGACAGTGGGGCGCGAGAGGGACGAGCGGGGGCGGGCTTAATCCGGGCGGAATCTGGGGGGGTGCAAAGAAGGGGCCATGGAGGACTTAATCCAGGTGGGATTTGCAGGAGCATGAGTCACTAGATCCTGGTCTGGAAAGAGTTCAGGACAATGGAAATTTCCAGGTGGGGAGACAGGAGGGCAGAGGGCATGGCGGGCGAGAGCAGACGGCGGGCAAGGAGGCTGGTGCCGTCCCCAGGGGCAGCCCCCAAACAGATCAGACCCACGCGCCAAAACCAAGCCAGGTGAGGGGACAGGCTGTGGGTCGGGGACACGCCGGGTTCGGGGTGTGCCTGCATTGGTCTGCGGGGTGACCGTGACGGGGCTGCTTTTGGAGGCGGTGCCGAGCCCTGGCACAGGTCACTCGTGGGACGTCTATTGGGCTGACACGAGCCAGTGCCAGCCAGTGAGATAGCGGCATGGGTGCCTGCCTTGCACACTACCACCGTCAGGAGCGGCTTCTGAACACACCCTGAAGTCAGCCCGGAGCACGGTTACGCGTGGCCCGAGGGTCAAATGTCCACTCTTGGAGTCTGACTTCATGCCTTAGTTTCCACTACTCAGAAACCAACAGATGGTGGAGGGGCGGGGGTGGACCCGCACAGGAAGCCATCGAGGAGCTGAGAGGTGACTCGGTGGTGGCGAATTGCAGGCCGGAAACACGGACTCACGCTGGCCACCCACGGCGGCGGCCCGGGGACTTCCACACCTGGCCGGCGCCCAGCCCTGAGTGGTCAGGGGAAGGCCTGCGCCCTGGCAAAGGCGCTGTCCCCCAGCCTGCGTCTGCCTGTCTGTCTGCGCCTCCTTGAGTCATCATCTCTCTGGAAGTGACTCAGGCCTGCAGGAAGAGCCAGGTTGGAATGTCCCGGTAGCATCACTCTGAGACGCTCCAGGCTCCAGGGCAGCGCTGGCCTTGTGAGCGACCCGCGGGCAACTGCCTGAGCAACTCGGGGTAGGCCTGTGGGGCCCAGAACACAAGCTCAGGGCAACAGGATGGCGGGCAGGGAGTGGGCCTCACTCTCAGCTGATCGGGGGCCATCCCTGGCACCCCACAGGGCCCCTGAGCCCCGTCAGAGCAGTCCCCAAACCAAAACCACACAGGCCCAAAGTCTTTGGGGGTATCACACCTGGCTGTGCGCAAGAATCACTGCCGGCAGCGCTCTGGGGACCTTATAGGGTGCCAGGGGTCATACTGGGCCCACATGCCTGGCAAGCGCCCTCCCTGCCACCCTGCCTCTACGACCCCAAATGCACCGCCCTGGGGTGCCCAAGGACCCCGAGTACTGCACAGGCCACCTGCGCCAGTGCCCCCATCCAGGCTGGGCTCAGGGGGTCTAAGCTCCTTGCATGTTCCCACTCAGGAAAGGCCCGGGCGGTGGGATGGTCACCAGCCCCCTGCCACCCTCTTCTGCTCGGACCCCCAGAAAGCGGGCATAGCGAGCCCACTCTGCAGCCCAAAGGGTCACACGACCTGCGTGGTGTGGGAACCAACCCCCAGTCCCAGGGGAAGCGTTGGGGCTGTCCACGAGCAGCCTTTAGTACTGACCAGCAATGCTCCCGCTGTTCCAACTGGGACACAAAGACGCCCGTCCAGGCCCGGGAGCGAGGTCACAGGCCACCCAGCGAAAAGCAAAATCTCATATGGCCAGTCTAAGCACCGCAGGGTGTGGCCCCTACAAAAAAGCCACTCAAAGGAGAAACAGTGCTTAGGCTAAGAGCATCGGTCCTGGGGCAGACTCTGCTCCTCCTCCAAGCAGCCCCCTGGGCCTCCAAGGGCTGGTGGTAGCGATGCAGGGAGTGCATGGACGGAGTGCACGGATGGCTCCCAAGCGGTGCTCAGGAGGTGTCAGGGACCCTCCCAGTCTTGCGTCTTAGTCCAAGTACTGACTTCCTGGCCCTAATCCTGCTTTCCGTTCTTGGCTTACACGCAGTTTCCCCTGTAGCCAGACGCTTTCTGATTCGCCCAGAGAAGCCTGGTTCCACACAGCCAAGTTAGAATGCAGATCCTAACAGGCGCTAGGGTGGGAGTCAGACAGCTTTTTTTTTTTTTCCAGAAAAGGCAGACTTGGCAGGGGAGGCACTCAGGATGAGCTTGCTCCAGGAAACCGCAGCAGCAGAGGCCCGAGGACACCGCGTTCCCCTCCCTGGCTCTGCTGCTGGCCACAGCAACACCCCTCCAAGAACTGCAACAACTCTGAAGAGTCAGCGTTTCAGTAATTTTTTTACTCTCCAAAATGTAATACAATTCTCCAGCTAGAACAGGAGAAAAGAGACAAAAACAGTGCTTCAAAGTACAATAGAAAAATATTGTCCACTGGTTTATTTTTCCAAATGAGCAAGAGACTATTTACAAATAAGCAGAATTCCAAGGATGGATTATTAAAATGATGAGTCTAGACCTGTTCAAAACCTACATTAAAAAAAAAAGATTTTTTTTTTTATTATTAAGGCACATTTGATCTGTGAGTTTACAACAATCTTTCAGGTATAAAGACAGATTCGTTTCACTTTGTTCCCCCCCGAAAAAAAAATACACGTGAGCACCAAAATTGCCAAAGAACACTTGATATTTAGTAGAAACAGTAAGGAATGTCTCAGAATCCAGGAGGGGGACGTGGCGGAGGAGGGAAGTGTGTTCAAAAGAAGTCTTTGGAGACACTGAAGGAAGACAGACAAATGTGCCCCGGAGGAACAGCAGTGCCTACACAACGGGCACCAAATAAATTAAAGGACCCTCAGAAGGGAAGAGAAAAAAGGGGACAGCGACTGAAAAGTGGGGGTCCCCACCCCACCCCGAGCTCGGAACGAAGCAGGTGGGCAGCCTGGCACGTTCGGAGCTGGGGAGTGTTGGGCTTTGGGGCCTGGCACTTATTCTTTGCCTTCCACTAATACCCTCTAAAATGTACTTTGGGGGCCACACCCAGCACTGCCCAGGGCTGGTGGCTCGGGGGGCGGGGCAGGGGAGGGGTGTCCTGCAGCTCTGGTGGATGGAACCCGGGTCTCCTGCACACCAGCCGCACCTGGGCCCAGGGCTCCCTCCGCCCCGGCTCTCTACCTTTTACTGAGGAGGGCCGAGAAGAGGCAAACGACCAGACCCCCGAGATGCTGCCGTGGCTACACCAGCCACACCCCCTGCCGGAGGAGCTGAGTGCGTTCCTAGGCTCTGGAGGCCGCCCTGGCCTAGGTGCCAAGACTCAGCCCAAGGCAGGTGTCGAGGCAGCTGGGGTCACGGTCCTTTATTCCCGAGGGCTGTGCGGAACAGCTCCAAACAAACGGAAGAGAGGGAGCGAGGGAGGAGGGGCGGCAAGAGGGAGGGAGAGAGAGAGAGAAAGAAAGAGAGAGAGAGAGAGAGAGAGAGACAAAGGCTTGAATCTGCGCAATGTTAACAGTCACACCAAAAGGAGGACCGGAGTTACAGTGTCTCGCTACAATAATACTTTGCAAGAACGTTTCTTTCTTCGTTCCTTCCTGTTCTTAGCAGAGAACTGTAACAAAAGGAGTCTAAAAAAGAACCTTGAAGGAGGGAGAAAAGAGGACGAAAAAAGGAAGTCGGTTCACTGGGTCCGCTTCCTGTTACAGCCACGTCTGCAGTCCAACAGCACGACGGGCAGGTGATCACGCCGTGCTCTGGGGGACCCGACTGCATAGGGACAAGAAGCAAGCCCTGACCCCCAGGAGCCCGAGAGCCGAGGAGTCCTCCGTAACAAAACCATGTGGAAAGCAGCTCCGTGGGGGGGCTTCCCCCGTGGCCCCTAAAAAAATAAACAACAACAACAACAACAAAAAACAAACCCAAAGACCCCGAGCGTACAAAACAGTCCGGAGCAATAAATTAGAGGGTGTGAGGGCGGCGCGGGCGGGTCAGGGCGTCCGCAGGGAGCCGTTGTTGCGGCCGCCGCCGTCCCCCGGCCGCTGCTTCTCCAGCCACATCTCGGCCAGCTGCTGCGTGGAGCCATAGGTGGCCGCCCGGGAGCCCACGCACATGCGGTACTGCCGGGGCTCCAGGGCGGGGTCGCAGGAGACCGGGTGGTACACGTGCACCACGCCCACCTCCTGGCTGCGGAAGGGCCTCAGGCCCGCCTGCAGCACCTTGTTGAACAGGTCCACGTCCTCCAGCCCCCAGCCCTGGATGGACACGTCGAAGCCGCCCGCCCGCACCAGGTCGCCCTTGTAGATGCAGGTGATGCCGAAGCCGTAGTGCCGCCAGAAGCCCGTCTTCTGCGTGAAGGCAAAGTGGTTGTCACTGGGCGCGCGGCCGCCGTAGACCACCTTGGGGTCGTACTGGCTGAAGATGACCGGGAAGTAGGCCTGCTGGCCGGCCACGGCGTTGGCGCGGCAGCGCTGCAGGAAGTCGGCCGTGAAGAGCAGGTCCACGTCGCAGAAGAGCAGCAGCGAGTCGTTGGTGAACTGGGCGGCACCCACCTCCAGGGCCATGGCCCGGGAGAACTCGCCGGCCACGGGCAGCACCTGCAGGTCGGCCTTGGGGTGCCGGAGGCGGTAGTCTCGCAGCAGCTCCACCTGGCGCGCCTTGTCGGGGTTGGCGTCTGAGTTGAAGAGCAGCACTACCAGCTTGACGTTCTGGCCGGGCAGCAGGCAGGTCCGCTCGAAGTGGCCCAGGAAGCGGGCGAACATGTCGAAGCGGCCCGAGAGCGGCAGCAGCACGTGGATCTTGGTCTCCCGCGGTTCCGGGCGGGCGCGCCGGGCGCCGGGCAGCGGGAAGGGCACCAGCTTCTGGAGGGAGTTGGAGAGGAAGGACAGGGAGCCCGAGTCCCGGTTGATCCTGGCCGCCAGCTCCTGGGCGTCCAGCGCCTCGTGCTCCAGGAACTGGACGCGGCTGAAGGTCTGCTGCAGGTAGGCGTGGCGCCGCACGGGCACCGTCACCTTCTTGCCCTTGTGCTTCTTGTAGAGCAGCAGCAGGTCCAGCACGTACTCGGCGCCGTGCAGCGGGTCCACGCGCCGGTAGCCGTACTGGATCTCCTTGAAGTCGATGACGCGGCCCCGCGTCCGGGCGTTGGCGTTGATCAGCTCCATCACCTGCAGGACGATGTCGTCCAGCGCCTCCCGCTGCGCCGAGTCCAGGCCCCGGCGCGGGGGCTGCCCGTCGGCCGCCGAGTACAGGTGCCGGGCCGTCAGGAAGTCCCACTCCAGCACCTCGTCGCGCCGGCGCGGCTGGAAGCGCGTGAAGGAGGGCGGCAGGCCCAGCTGCTGGTCCTCGCGGCCCACGGCCGTGCCGCCGTAGCGGCCCATCAGCACGATCTCGCGGTGCAGCTGCAGCGTGCGGTGCCGCAGCTCGGCGATGCGCCGGCTCAGCAGGTAGCTGTGCAGCCGGTACTGGTAGGGCGGGTTCTTGTTGGGGTGCAGCGTGATGGCCCGGTGGATCTTGCTGTTGTGCAGGTCGCGGATGTAGCCCCGCTTGTTCTGCTCGTAGTTCTCGTAGAACAGCTGCTGCATCTGCCAGGGAAGGGCGGGGGGGGGGGGGGGGGCGAGGGTGAGGGCATGCCCAGCCGGGACGGCCCCCGCCAGCAGCAGCCCGGAGGGACACAGGCACGCACGGGCTGCGGGTCAGACGCCCTGCCCTGCCCCCTCCCCCCGACCCAGCACCACCGAGTGTGGCCCCCGAACCAACCTACAAGAAAGGGAGAGTAAATGGGGAGCAAATGCACAGCAGGGAGGGCGCCGCGGGCCTGTCCTGGCGATTCTGCCCAGTGATGCGACCTGAGCTCACTCTGGCTCTCGGGAGCCAGTGGGGAGACGAGAGCTGGGGGTCCCTCTCAAGGCTCGTGTCTCTCCCGGCAGTCCGAAGCACCCCCTGCACCTGGGGCTGGGCTTTGATCCTGGGGAGACCATCAGGCTTAGGTGCTTCGCGGCCGACCCGGGTTCGATCCCCAGCATCCCACAGGGCTCCTCAAGCACCACCAGGAGTATTTCCTGAGTGCAGAGCCAGGAGGAACCCCTGAGCATTGCCGAGTGTGCTCCAAACACTCTAAAAGTGGGGGGATCGGAGAGGAGAAACAACTAAAGGACCCAGAGGGCAAATACAGGCTGCAGTGGCCACGTGCCCCACCTGGGCCATGAGACTGGGCAGAGGCACCTGAGAGACAGCGGCTGCTCTGAGATGACTGAGTCCAGAGCCCAGGATGCCGGAAACCAGGGGCTGGAGAGGGTGAGGAGGGGCAGACGGGTGGAAATGATGCAGCAATCCCGCCCGGCACTGCAGAACCGCATCTGAGTGACCCTGTCCCAGCACCCCTGCAGGATGCTTCACTGTCACCGGTGAGGACCAGTGGGGGGCTCAGAACTAGCCAGTCACTGGCCCCCGGATACCGGCTGGTTCCCCCGCCCCCACTCCTGGGGCAAGTTCCTGGAGAAGCACCTAAGCCTGATGGTCTCCCAGGATCGAAACCCAGCCCCAGGTGCAGGGGGTGCTTCGGACTGACGGGAGAGACACGAGCCTTGAGAGGGACCCCCAGCTCTCGTCTCCCCACTGGCTACCGACAGCCAGAGTGAGCTCAGTTTGCATCACTGGGAACGAACACCCCAGGATCAGGCCTGGCTGGGTGGAATCACCAACACACAGGCCCGGGGCAGAGGCACTGAGCACTGCTTGGAGGCCTCCACCCTACAAATCAGCCTCAAGTTCTATCGCTCCAGGGCAGACTAGTTTCAAATTTCCAGAGGTCTCTAAAATTAATTTTAACTATTTCATTTTGCAATGTCACACTCACCATTAATAAAGTTTTTCATATACGAAAATAAAGCTACTTTGCTTTATGAGCTACTCTGCTTTAAAATATTCCTAGTAGAGGGGCTGGAGAGATAGCACAGTAAGGCATTTGCCTTGCACGCGGCAGACCCGGGTTCGATTCCCAGCATCCCATATGGTCCCCTGAGCACCGCCAGGGGTAATTCCTGAGTGCACAGCCAGGAGTAACCCCTGTGCATCGCCAGGTGTGACCCAAAAAGCAAAATAATAATAATAATAATAATAATAATAATAATAATTCCCAGTAGAACTAATTATATATAAGAGGGAAAAAAACGTGAATTTATATTGTCAGTTGGTTCTTGATGAACTGAAAAATACCTTGCCTTCATGTTGATCTCCCCAACACACACACACACACAAAATAAGCTATGAATAAAAAAATCTCTGCATACTCCTGTGGTCACCGAGACAACCCCACGCCCAGGGACCATGGATGGGAAGAGACATGGGGGTCAGCATAGCCGCTCTGCATGTGGGAGGCCCCTCCTGGACAGACACGGGCGGCCCCGTCCCCCACAGAGGAAGCTGTGGTGGGAGAAGCAGGCAGCCGTGCTGAGGACACGCGCTCGCATGTCTGCTGAACCGTGGAGTCGCGTGAGGAGGAACAAAGCCGAAGGAAGGACGGACCCCAGGTGCTCTCGTGCCTGCGGGATGGGCAGAGGCTGGCCCAGGAGACAGCGCTGGCTGGGGACAGGCCCGGGCTGCATCAGAGTGGAGAGTGACAAGCGGGGGTGACTGGAGAGAAGACACAGACCAGAGGGGAGCAGGGACAGGCTGGGGGTGCAGGGACTGTGCACACAGAACAGGAAACATCAGCACACTCTCGCCTCGTCACCTGATTGACAGCAAACGCCCTAAAAAGGAAATGAGACCCAGGCACGGCCACATAACGCTTGGGACCGGAACAGACTTGGGGACCAGCCTTGACAGCAAGGAGGAGCCGTGGGCTTCCATGGTCTCGGGATCCAGCCCCTGGAATGTTTGCACGTGCTGTGTGTTATGTGTGTGTGGGGTGGGGGGGAGATGCCACGTGTTCCACCCTCTGCTGCGGCCCCCGAGCATCACAGGGCCAGCCCCATGCAGTGGGGTCCACCTGCAGCCCGGACCCGCGGGGTCCCCGCACGCAGGGCACGGCCACAGGCCGGGACTGGCAGCACAAGACTGTGCCTGCCCCAGCAGTCGGGGTGCGAGTGAGCGAGAGCAGCACCCCCAGAATGCAGGGCTTGGGGGCCTTTGGGCTCTGTTCTTCGCAGGGATGCTCACTCGGTGGGAGAAGATGGGGTCACCCTGGTGAGACAGGGTGGGACGAGGGGGAAGTTCCCAAACCCCCTTTTGTCGACTCTCTTGTAACAAGGGGCAGCACCTCCAGGCTCTGTCCAGCCAAGTCCAAATTCCCGCGGAGAGAGAACTTCTAGTTCCACGCTGTATACCGAGAGTCCCCAAATCCCCAGATTCACACACACACACACACACACACACACACGCACGCACGCACGCACGCAAACACACAGAGTCATGGGAGAAATGCAGCAGACGCTCTCCTCTGGGCACATGGGCAACACGGGGTCCCCACGTATCAGACTGTTCTGAGCACCCTAGGAGCCCGGGCTGCGTCCTTGCCACTTCCTGCTCCAAGCCCTGAGCACCAAGAGCTTCTCTCTCGAAACCCAGCCAGAAGGGAGGGGGAGAGTGTGCAGTGGGAAGGCGCAGCTGGGCACATGGCTGACCCGGGGCTGAGACCCCCCACGCCCGGCCGGGAGCGATCCCTGAGCCCCACCTTTTGAGTGTGGCCCCGATTCAAAACCAAACCTTAATCAACTTGAAGGGACGCCCCGCGCCCAACCCTGGCTGCCCACGCTGAATCCACACCGAGCACCCAGACAGCCCACGCCGTGCCTGGCCCTGCCCCGGGCTCATGGCACAGATCGACTGGCCTGACCAGGCCCCGGCTCACTCCTGACCCCCTCAGCTGGGCTCCCCCCTGGGCCCAGCCCGGCCTGGCCCCTGCGGAGGGCGGGCGGGCACTCGAGGGGCTGGGCTAAGAGGCAGTTTCAGCAAACTAAAAACAGACGCGACCCAGCCCGAAATAGAAGCCGCGGACAGCACAGCTGGCCAGGCCCTGCCACTGCCCAGGACTGCAAAGAGCACGGGAGCAGGGGGCGGGGGGGCACGGCGGGGCTGCCTTTTTTTTAGATCCCAAACTGGGGAGGCCCAGGGTCTCGCTGAGGGGAGACAGCTCCAACATCCTCACGGCTCAGGTGCACTGCCAGCCAGCTGACTTCTGCCAATTCTGCATTTTGTAAGGGAAACTGCAGGGCCAGAGAGATGGTACAGTGGGTAGGGCACTTGCCCTTGTACACAGAGCCAGCCCGGGTTCGAGCCCCAGCATGGCGCAAGGACACAGGGCTCCCCAAGCACCATCTGGGGTGGCCTAAAGTACAGGATAAATAAAATAAATGCTGAGGTTAAAAAAAAAAGGAATTGGGGCCATAGAGGGCCCACCAGACTTGGGTGCAGGCTCTGCACGTGGGGTGGGGGTGGTGAGGCCGTGCTGGATCCCCGGGACCCACCTCCTGGCCGCCCCCCATTCCCTTGCCCGAGCACCGCCAGGTGTGGCCCTTCCACACCAACCAACTACAAAACCCAGCCACCTCATGTCAAGGTGCCAGCCACAGGCTGGCGAACTGCAGGGCACAGCCACCGGTAACCAAGCACGAGGGCGGAAGGCGTGCCTGCCGAGCCACGGAGCCTGGAGGCGACAGCTGCTGACCAGGCTCCTGCTGTGCACACGTGGCCTTGACTCCCAGGAAATGCCACAGGGATGGCGCTGGGGGCACTGAGTGGAAGGGCCGGAATGGGGGGGGAGGGGAACACAGGGGCACGGGCTGTTCTTAAAACCGCCATGGTCAGGACCAGAGAGACAGGACAGTGGGGAGGACTCTTGCCTTGTGCTCTGTGGACCATGGTTCAATCCCCGGCATCCCATATGTTCCCCCGAGCGCCACCAGGAGTGATCCCTGAGTGCAGGAGTAAGCTCTGAGCATCGCTGGCTGTGACCCCAAAAGCCAAACAACAACAACAACAACAACAACAAAACCACGCTGCTGTCCGGGGGTAACTTAAAAACCTTCCAGGGCCAAGACAGGACGAGGACAGCAGGGAGGAGGGCATGTCCCACCCCCGGCACCCCAGAGGGTCGCCCGAGTCCCAGCAGGAGCCATCCCTGAGCACGGAGCGAGGAGTCAGCCCCGAGCAGCGCTGGGTGTGGGTCCCTGAACAACAACAACTTTCAAGTCCCCAACAACCAGGACCGGAGACATGGGTGGCCGCTGCGTCCACTGACAGGTCAGGCAAAGCAGGTGCGGCCTGGCTTGCTGTTGGGGGCACAGGGGATCAAAGCCAGAGCCCACCCCCCCCCCCGCCCGGCACACACAAGGCAGGGGATCTGCCGTGGGGATGCACCCAGGCCCGTCCTCAGCGCTTCCAGCCAGGCTATTCCAAGACAGCCGTTTCCTCTCCTGCCACTGTCTGGAGCTGCAGCCCCGCGAACAGCAGCTCTAGACCATAAGGAGCCGCCACGCCACCCAACGATACCAGTTCCGTGTGCAGCCCCACCGCACCTACAAGCTGCCTAGCAAGGAGCTGAGGGGGGAAGTGTCCCAGAAGCTAACCCAGCGCAGTGACT